AAATAAACGTTGAAAAAAAAAATTTAAAAAAAAAAATAAAATAAGAAATGGAATGAACTGAAGCACTTGAACCATGTTCTGTCACTGTCCTTGCGACTTTCCCTTGTTAGACTGTGGGCTTCTTGAGGGAAGGGATGTCTCCTTGTTCATCTCTGGATATCTAGCATTAGCACAGGTCCTGGGCAAATATTAGGTGCTCAATAATGTTTGTTGCATGAAAAGGGCCAATCTCAGTGTCCAGTGAAGTGCCTGGCACAGAGTAGGTGCTCAAAAACTTATCAGAAGAAAGATGGGCTGGCAGAGAAGACAGATTATGTCCTGGAGAGTACAGTTTTCTCCTCTCGCCACACAGTTATCGGGGCCCCTCCCCCAGACCCTGCTATGGTCTGAATGTTTGTATCCTCCCCACAAATTCATATGTTGAAATCCTAATCCTCAAGGTGGTGATTTTGGAGGTGGGGCCTTTGGGAAGTGATTGGGTCATGAGGGTGGCACCCTCATGAATGGCATTGGTGCCCTTATGAAAGAGACCCCTGAGAAGTCCCTCCCCCACCACCATGTGAGGTTGCAGAGAGAAAACAGCCATCAATGAACCAGGAAGCGAGCTCTCACCACACACAAAATCCACCAGTGCAGTGATCTTGGACTTCCAGCCTTCTGAACTGTGATAAGTAAATGTTTGTCATTTATAAGCCATCAGGTCTATGATATTTTGTTACAGCAGCCCAAATGGACTAAGGCTTCCTAAAACAAAGGGCAGGATAAGCTAACTTAGAACAGAGATTTGATCGGATGGAGAACTGTTTCCCGAACTAACAATGACCATGAACGAGAACAATAGCCACAACTTATTGAGTCACCACTCTGAGCCAGATGCTGCTGGATGCTTCGTGTGCCCTGATCTCCTCAAGTATTATGAGCACGTACAGGTATACCCATTGTATGGGCAAGTAGACTGAGGCTCGGGGATGAAAAGCGAGTTGCTCACAGAGCAGCACTGACATTCATCCCAGGGCCACCTGCCCCCAAAGCAAGCTCCTGATGAGCAGCCTGGATCTGCAGAAACACAGAGGGTTCAGGCTCCAGCTCTACCAGCCTGTCTCGGAGGCACCTCCCCTGTGGCTCCTTCCTCTGTAGTCCCCAGCTCTGGGTCCCACTCCTTACCCCCATGCCCAAAGCTTCTCTTGTGGCCCTAAAGCAGGGCACCTTCAGCTTTCACTAAGAAAACTTGGTTTTCAGATCACTTTCACAATGAAAATGGGAGTCAACTGACACATGCACCTGAGGAAAAGAAAGACGTTGCAAAGCCCTTCCTTATGGAAATAGACCTAAGAGCCGGCCACTCCACCCTTTGTCCTTGGCTGAGGAAGAGACTCTCCTCAGTTGGAAGGCCTGGCCAGAGGGCAGGGCAGAATCCTGCAGCTGCGGGAAGGTGGAGGGCAAGGGAGTGGAGTAGTGGAGAGTAAAGGGGAGAGCATGGGAGGGGTGAAAACCTGCTAAAAAGACAGGCGTCTCCTGCCCATATAGTTCAGCTCTTTTCTGAGCTCCAAGTCCCTAAGAGATGTGCTTATTTTCCAAATCTGAAGACTACCCCCTCTTCCGGGGGTCCAGAGGAGGAAAGAGCCAATGTCTTTTAGCCTAATATAAACACACGTGCACGCACACACCTCCACACAGATCTTACAGCCTGTCAGTCTTGGCTTCAAATCCAGCTCAACCGCTCACTGAACATCTCTGAGCCTTGGTCTCACAATCTGTAAAAGGGGCATAATAATAAAAGCCACCATTTACTGAGCACTTGCCTTGCTCCAGGCATTGATCCAGGAGCCCTGTGTTACTCCATTTAATGCTCACCACTGCCCTCAGCCTCGTCATTGCATCATTGCCATCGTTGCGTCATTGCTGGTGAAGTCTGAAGATCCACCGGCCACAGGGAGAAAGCAGAGACTGAAGGAGAGGGCCCAGGAATCCAGGAGCACCTGGCTGTCGCCAGCAGGGAGGCGACAGTGCTGAAGGAGTCTGTCACCAGAGGAGGGCCCTGCGGACAAGGGCTCCATGCCTCTGCCTCTGGCTTCTCTTCTGCCTCCTGTCCCAGTGCTTCTGGAAGGAGCCCTGATTGTGACCTGGGATCATTTTTATCCCCATTGTCCCAGTGAGGACCCTGAAGCACAAAGCGGTGGAGGAACTAGCCCAAGATGGCTCAAGATAGCCAAGATGGCCTGGATGTGACCAGCTGGCCCGGGCACACTGACTGCACAGCCCACAGGCACCGCCTTGCAGAACTGTTGGACGATCACAACCAGCACTTGCCCAGCACCTGGTGTAAATAAGTCCTCAGGAAACACAACTGTTGTGCACCGCAGCCCTCCATCTTCCCGCTATCATACCAGATGTGCTAGGTCTCAGCAAGACAGCAGGTGCAGCTGCCAACGCCCAGGGTCTCCAGCTTAGCACATCCCTTCCTGGTCCAGATGGCT